ACCACGCCCAGCTCCAGCTAAAAAATTTAAGTGATAACACCTTAAATGTGTTCATCAATCCCTCCTAGAGGATTAGCTCATGACAGCAGAAGAGACCAAAATCTGCTAAGAGGAAGGACCCTCGTGAGAGCTGGCCCTAAGGCGTTCACAAAGCTCCCACGCTCTGACTGACGCTGGATGGCAGAGGGGGCTGCAGCGAAGGGTTGAGTAATAGCTCTCAACCCCTCACAAAAGACTAAGGAGAAAATTAGCTCAATTACCTCCAGTCAGCACACAGCTCATCTCAAGCTGGCACACAAGACGCTGGCTGGGAAAAGTTCCCTGAGAAAGGCAGGTTTGGACTGGGCTTTTGAACGGTAGGACAGGGAGACGTGGGCAGAGGGAGCCGGGTACTGGGCATGGCTGTAGAAGCTCTCAAGAAGGCACCCTGAATCTCCATTTATCATCTCCACCAGTACATAGGGTTACTTCAGCAGAGAACGCTCTGTGGAAGTAAGGTGATCTGTCAAGGCTCATGGAGAACTTCTGGTTAGAAACCGTGTGTGTCTAACTACCCCATCATTGCCACCACTGCGGAAGAGGACTAGAGACGGGTTAGGAAAAGGGGAGGAGAGAGCCCAGTGATGTGCTTGGGAAACCAGAAGTTAGGTAAGCTTGCTAAAGGTTGTTGAAGGGCCATGAAAACCAGGCAGAGCCATTTGAAGGAGACGCACAGTTGCCAAAGAGCCACTGAAGGTTTGGGGTAGAGGAGCCGTCAAATGTGAGCGAAGATCAAAGCTGAAAACAGGAGTTCTGAGAGGAGGGGCAGCAGTGCTTAGAAGCAGAGGCCGGGCAGGACACCTCTAACCCCAGCACCCAGCAAGCAGCAGCAGGCGGTCTCTGTGGGCTACACAGAGAGGTCTAGCCAGCCAGGAAGGAAGAAAGAAAGAGAAAGAAAGAAAGAAAGAAAGAAAGAAAGAAAGAAAGAAAGGAAGGAAGGAAGGAAGGAAGGAAGGAAGGAAGGAAGGAAGGAAGGAAGGAAAGAAAGGGAAGGAAGGAAGGAAAGAAAGAAAGAAAGAAAGAAAGGGAAGGAAGGAAGGAAGAAAGGAAGAAAGAAAGAAAGAAGAGAAAGAAAGAGGTAGAAAAAGAGAGAGAGAAAGAGGAAGAAAGAGAAAAAGGAGAGAAAGAAAGAAAGAAAAAGAAAGAAAAGAAGGAAGGAAAGAAAGAGAAAAAGAAAAAGAGAAAGAGAAAAAGAAAGAGAAAGAGAGAGAAAGAAAAAGAACTCACTGCAAGTCTGTCTCCACAGGGGCAGGGGCGGGTGTGGCTGACGGGACAACAGCTGTCCCTGTGTACCTTGTCACCTTGTGAACCTTATCACCTTGTGAATACTTTCCTTAATCCTCGCGGCCTGGCAGATGGGCTCCCTGGGAAACTCCAGTGGGGCGGTGCTGCCATCTTGTGGCCATGACTGGTTGAACACACCCAGCCGAGGCCTGTCAAAGGCGGCTCCGCCCACGTCACAGAGCGCTGCCACACACCAAACTAACCCCTACTTTCTCTTCAGTGCGTATTTGTTCGTTTCAGGGGCCAGAGGACAGCTTTCAGGGCCAGCACCCTCTTCCTGCACACGAGTCCCAAGGAGCAAGCTCCGGTCCCTGCAGAGCCACTTCGCTGGCCCTGGAAATGCGGCTATTATCATTCTGAACTATTCGGTGTCAGAGGGAAAGCCAGGCTCCCCGCCAAGCTCTAACAGTGCGTGTGAACACAGACTATTTACCAGAAAGATTTCCTTCCTTCTAACAGACTGAATTCACAACGCCCCCACCTTATCAGAAAGGTAAAGGTTGGAAAGCTCTTGCCCAATTTGGCAAATATTTGTAGACTACTGCTATGGTGCCAGGTCCTAGCGAGCTCAGGGAGTATGAAAATGAGCTGCACAGCCTCCGTCCAGCCAATCTACCCTGCAGCATGTCCTCGGCCGGGCTCTCCGCCCTCTGCCAACCCAGCCCTCTGCCAGCCCAGCCCTCTGCCCAGCTCTCTGCCCTCTGCCAGCCAGTTTCTGCTCCCCCACGTGACCCAGCTCAAGCTCTGCCCCCCTACCCAGACACACAATGCTGTGTGTCTGTAAACCCAGCTTTTACTAGGCTGAGGCAGGGTCCCAGGTTCAAGGCTAGCTTGGACTACAGTGTGAGACCTGTGTCAAAACACAAAGAGAAAGGAAGGAGGGAAGGAAACGGGCAAGTGACCTAATTATATTTTAACTGAAGTTTACATTTTAAGTGATTTTGTTAGCTAAAATATGAAAAGGTGTGTGGTTGTCTTATCTTCACACTCATTTACATATCCATCGATTCAAATGTGGCACAGAATCAAGTTGTTATTTATAATTTCTTCTAAAGCTCCCAGGGCTAAAGACAGATGGTTCGGTGTTTAGGAGTGCTGGCTGCCCTTCCCGGAGACCCAAGTTCAGCTCCCGGCACTCACACGGGTGGCTCACACTGTTTGCAACTCCAGTCCAGGAGATCCGACGCTCTCTTCTGCTTACAACTTCTGTACAAATATGTGTGTGTCTACACACAGACACACACAAAAACATACATAATAAAGTAGAAATAATATAAAAGATAATGAAAAAAATTAAATATTGAAAACGAGAAGGGTCTAGAGAAATGGCCTAGCAGTTAAGCACTCTGGCTGTTTTTCCAGGGACCCGGATTTGATTCCCAGCACCCGCATGGTGGCTCACAGCCGGCTGTGACTCCACTCCCAGGGCCATCTGATGCCCCCTTCTGGCCTCCCTCAGGCACTGCATGCTATGACACACACACGTACAGGCAAAACATCCATGCACATAAACTAAAAAGAAATCCCCAAAAAATTAAATTAAAAAAAAAAAAAAAACAGCCCGATGGTGGTTTAACCCAGCACTCAGGAGGCAGAGGCAGGCAGATCTCTGTGAGCTCCAGGCCAGCCTGGCCTACAGGGCTCCAGAACACAGAGAAACCCTATCTGGAAAACCCAAAACACAACTCTCTCTCATCAGCTCCTCCGTCCTCAGCGAACAACCTTAAATGTTGACACACTCATAGCTCCAGGTTTATGGAATATATGGCCATGCAGCCTCCAAAGTAGACTGTCCTTAGATTTTGTTCTGCTTCTCAAGGCAGGGTTTCCCTGCGAAAGGCTGTCCTGGAACCAGATCTGTAGACCAGGCTGGCCTCACACTCACAGAGATCCACCTGCCTCCGCCTTCCAAGTGCTGGGGTCACAGGTGTGCCAGCACCACCTGGCCGTCTTTAGAGCTTTCTAGAGAGAAACCACGTAGGCAGCGTCAGGCCAGGACCGAGTCACCGATTTCAAGAGTGTTCACTACCTCACACAAGTCTCCAACACGGTAATGAACTAGAACAAACAGAGAAGAGAAATGACAAAGAAGAATTTAAAAATTCAGGGGGCAAAGCAGAATTGTCCTGAATTCAAGGTCAGCCTTAGCTCCAGATTAATACTCTATTAAAAAAATCATTTCATCAATTCCCCTCTCTTGAAATAACAAATGATGGGCGTCTAGGAAAGTCTTCCCCGTTCACTGTCCCCTCAGCTCCAACATGTCACCCAGCGTGTAAGCGGAGCCATCCCTCCACTTACGGTGGGACAGTTAGCACCATGTCCACAGGGTCATCCGTTTTCCCAGAGGCCCTCGGGGTAAAGGCTTGGGGCCAGAAGAGCTTTCAGGGATGGTGCTTGGTAGAAAGTAGTTGTGACAGGCTACACACCCTTAAGGGAAGGTGAGACTCGTGTTTCTTGCTGTCCTCTTTGCTTTCTGGGTACGTGGACTGGTTTCCTCCATTGTGCACTTAGGCCTTGAGGGAGCCTCAACACAGGATCCAAAGTGACAGGGCAAACTGCCCTGGGACCAAGCCCCTAAGCCTGCGGTTTCAGAAACAAAGCTCCCTCCCTTGTGAGCTGGCACAGTCACCTACAGTGCTGGCCGCGAGCATAGCAGCTCTCTTCTTTGCCTTGGCCATCTCCAGAGGCTGGAGAAGATCCCGCCAACCTCAGCCACACAGGTCAAGAGCTCCCTCTTTGTATACTCCTCAGACCTTCCTGGACCTGGAGCCGTGGCTATCACACACACACACACACACACACACACACACACACACACACACTCCCTATGCTGCAGGCTGGAGCAACTAAACCACAGCCAACTTCCTGCCGAATACAGGAGGCTTGGTCTCCCCACCACTCCAGGGGAGATGATGGCCTCTGTTTGTTTTCTGTGGTTGCTGTTCCATTTGTTTGGCTTTGTGGTGCTGAGAGCCAAGCCCAGAGCCCGGTGCACACTGGCCAAGTGTGAGCTAGTCACTGAGCTTTGTCCGCAGCCTTGTTCTTTGGCACGTTTATTCTGAGGCGAGGGGCGCACATCCACCCAACGAGTGGAGGTCGGAGGACAGCCTTTCGGGTCTCTGCTTCCCAGAGTCCTGGGGATCCGCTCAGACCATTAGCTGAGCAGCCAGCCACCAGCCCTTCAGTTTTTCTGTCTTTGCTTGTTGAGGGAGGGGCTCGCAGAGCCGGCTTCACCCCCCCAGAGCTGGAATTTCAGGCAGCACCACCCCTCACCCTGAACCTGTTCTCACCCAGCTCCGCTTTCCCTTTGTGTGGTCAGAGATCTGGAGGAAAGCGCCAACAGCGTGGAGACAGGCCGACTTCCCAGGCCCTGTCCTTCCACCCCTGGTCTCTGCTGAGGGCCACGGCGGATGGGCAGAGGGACACAGCACTTCCCCTCTCTCTGCCAGCCTGCAGTGCCTCGTTGCTATAAACAGCCAAAAGGCATAAGGAAACTCAAGTGAGGAAAAGGCTCGCTCGGAACAAAATCACAGCACAGGGCGGGAGGGGTCAGGCGCTGCTGCCAATCTGTCCGTCACTCCGTTCTCTGGAGGCTCCAGCCGCCTCTGTGTGACCAGCTTTACTCCCACATTCCTGTAAAGCACCTGGCCCAATCTGTGGCTCTCACGGCCAGCCCCGCCTTCGCTTTTCTTGCCTTCCTCCAGGTGCTCTGGCGTGGGCTTAAATCCACACTACCCAGCCGAGCAGTTCCAGGAAGCCTCTGCTGGTGGCCGGCCACGCAGGCCCTGGGCCACAACAGCGCCATGAGGCTTCTGCTCTCTGCCTTCCTCCTCCTGCTGCCAGGGACGCTCCCGCCCGCGGCCTCCCGCAGCCCAGGTAACTAACGGAAAGTCTTGCTCTCTCCTCTCTCCCTCCCTTCCTCTTCCTCCCATCTGTCTTTCCCCTTCGGACAGGTCTTGATACGAGGCCCAGGCTGGCCGGAAACTTGCACTCTTCCTCCCTCAGCCTCCTGAGCACCAGCGTTATAGCATGAGCACTCGGGGCTCGAGGTTCATGCTCGCCTGAGTGTGCGCGCACCACAGATCAATTTGATATTAAGTGGGGAGTGGGGTAGAAACTGCGGCAAACCCAGGGGAAAAGCACTAAAATGACTTTCACCCGCAGTGAGTTGGGGCGATGAAGTCAGTCTCCCTCAGACAGTCCCCTCTTCACAAAAGGAAGGCCACTGCTGCTCCCACACCAGCTTGTGGGCGGTAGGACGCGCTGCCCAGGCGTCTGGCCCGGAGCTGGTGTGGGAGCAGCAGCCAAGACCCAGGCTCTCCCCGTCCCAACCTCTCCCAGGAAAGTCACACACCTCGGGCTCAGCTGCGGCCGGGGCGTGAAGAGCAAAGAAACGAGGAGCCCTGTTTTGTTGTTCCATTTTCTCAGGGTGTGTCAGGTTCGCCACTGCTGATACAAAGTAGGGCAGCCCACCGAGGCCGGCCGCACGGGCTCTGCTCACGCCGGCTCTGCCCGGCTCTGCCGTCTGGGGGCTCTGCTCACGCCGGCTCTGCCCGGCTCTGCCGTCTGGGGAAGCGGACTTGGCAGAGCTTCTGTTCCAGCTGGCGCCACAGCCAGTGAGGCCCAGCCCTTCACAAAACAACCACAGAGGCAAGACCCTCTCCACCCAGGCCCCTCTACCTGAGAACAGCGCCCCCGGCCCTGGGGTGCGCACTCAGCATCCCTGCCAGGTCCAGCTTCTCTCCGCTGGGGAGTTCTTTGGGGGCTGCTGAGCTCCACAGCTGAGGGCCCAGGGCACCACTCCAGAGGGACACCTCCCGCCACCGGGGAGGACAGGCTGGGGCTCCAGCGCAACCCGCCTTTCAGTCGCTCCTCCACTCACAGACACCCCCAGCCCACTGGCCTGCCGCTGGCCAGCAGTGTTTCCAAACCAACTCTACTCACACCAAAAGCTCTCCCCCTCCCCCTCCTCCCGGTTCCCCCCACAATCAGACAGCTCTCGGCTCGCTGGCTACACTCGGCTCCAACAGGAGTCTCTGCACCGTCCCCTCCTGCCCCCCTGGGGAGGCGCGCCTCCCCTCCTGCCGCGCGGCTGTGTCCTTAGCCCCACACCATCCAGCCCAGCTCAGTAAATATTAGCCTCCGCTCAGCTTTCTAAGTTCAATGAGGCACTCCTATGAGTCGACCCCAGGCTCTGGGGACAATGTTTTCTTATTGTTGCTATCGTGTGCGTGTGCGTGTGACTTCGGATTAAGCATGCTAAGCAAGCTCTGCGTCCCGAGCTACAGCTCTGCCCCATCTCCTTTCACTTCATTTCATGGTTGTTCATGCTTTGGTTTTGGTTTTGTGTTTTCAAAACAGGATTTCTGCAGGTAGCCCTGGCTGTCCTGGAACTCGCTCTGTAGACCAGGCTGTCCTTGAACTCTCAGAGATGCACCTGCCTCCGCCCCTTGAGTGCTGGGATCACAGGTGTGTGCCACCACCCACCTGCCCCTTTTTTGTTTGGCCTTTCTTAGCTTCCCGGCCACCTGTAACTGCTGAGCGTCTTGCCCTGGCCTCCCAAACAGCTGGGATAACAGGACCACACTTACTCCTGAAGCTTGGTGCTGAACGATTCTTTGCTGGGTAGGCCTCTATCCACAAATCACCAATAGCAAAATCCTCCAGGTAGGAAAGCTGAGAACGAGCCAGGTGGTGGGACACGCATAAAGCACTCTGGAGGCAGAGGCGAGTGGCTCTCTGTGAGTCCAGGCCAGCCTGGTCTGCAGAGCGAGTTCCAGGACAGCCAGGGCCACACAGAGAAGCCCTGTCTGGGGGGGGAACTAAACACACCCGCCACTCGTTGGTCCACGTTCCCCAGGGGACTCCAAGCTGACAGCAGCTGCGCAGCGACCTTACAGGCCTGGCTGCACCCTTGAAATCAGGAAGCCTCGCCGCCTCTGCCGCTAGCTTTGCGCGCACCTCCCCTGCGCCTCTAGATGGCGCTGTCACAAGCCACGTGCGCCGAGCTTCCCCCAGCCGCGCGCTCCTCCACCTCCATCTGAACTGCGCAGTAGCCAGAGGGCACGACCTGCACGGAGGCCAAGGCGATTCCCAAAATAAAGCTTATCTTAGGAGGCGGGGCGCCCCGGCTGCTTTTCCAGAAGACTCGGGTTTGACTCCGAGGCTCACGCCGGTCTGCGGGTCACTTCCGTGGCCTGCGTGGGCGCTGCGTGCATTCGGGCACTGACACGTGCAAGGCCGGGCACCCACGCACACGCAGTTGTGATGGGGGCTTGCTTCACCTCCTACTAGCTACACCGAAACTCAGCACCTCTTCAAAGGGGAGGACGAAGGCCTGAGAGCCGTGGGAGCACCTCGCTTCGTCCCCACGAAAACCTGGCGTCGTAGGCTGGAGAGGCGGCTGGCCACACTGGGCAGCTCACGGCTGCCCCCGGGTCCGCAGGCGCCTGCACACACACTCAGGAGCACGCCCGCGAACGAGAGGAAGGGTTGTCAAGGCTTGTTCTGTCTGCGTGTGCGCCTGCGCGCCAGCAGAGGGCGCCAGGTCTCACTCTAGAAGGCGGCGAGCAGCCGCGTGCGCTCTGGGAACCGAACTCAGGACCCTGGAATTGCAGCCAGGGCTCTTTTTAATCCAATATATTTTGTTAGTTTTAGCTTTTAATTTCTCATGCCTTCAAAATGTTATGAAAGAGTTTCAATATACCTTTCACATATTTTTTTTCAAATTACTTTTTAAGTTTTCATTTATCTGTTTATTTACTGGGAGTCCATGGTGCAGGGAGTGTGTAAGTCGGAGGCCGGCTTTTAGGCGCTGGTTCTTGCCTTCCATCATGCGGGTCTTGGAGCTGAACTCAAGTCGTCAGCCTGGCCAGTAGATACGTCTAACCATTGCACGGTCTCATTGCCCTCCTTAAACATTAAACCAGAACACCATGATCAAAACTGCGATCTTTTTAATTATTAAAAAGAGTAATTGCTGGGCTGGAGAGACAGCTCAGAAGTTAAGAGCACTGGCTGCTCTTCCAGAGGTCCTGAGCTCAATCCCCAGCAACCACGTGGTGGCTCACAACCGTCTATAATGAGATCTGGTGCCTTCTTCTGGCCTGCAGACACACACACAGTCAGAATATTGTTAAATAACAAATTAATAAATCTTTAAAAAAAAATTTGCAGGTGGAGGTGGCGCACGCCTGTGATCCCAGCACTCAGGAGGCTGAGGCAGGAGGATCTCTGAGTTTGAGATCAGCCTGGTCTACAAAGCAAGTCCAGGATAGCCAGGGCTACACAGAGAAACCCTGTCTCGAAAAACAAAAACAAGCAAACAGACAAGCAAAAAACAAAGTCACAAATATTCATACTCATAAAATAAAAATAAGTCTTTAAAAACAGGAGTGGCTAGAGACTAAGCTCACTGCTGCTCTTCCGGAGGACCGGGGTCCAAATCCCAGCGCCCGCTTGCGAATGTCTGTAGCTCTACTTCCTGGAGCTCTGACGCCCTCTCTGGCCTCCTCACCAGACACACCAGTGGGGCACAGATGTACCTGCCGTGAAACACCCACACTCAGAACCGAAAGAGCCAGGACACTGTTGTTAATATTCTCTAACAGAGTTCAGGACGGTCCTGAACTACATGAGACCATGCCTCAGAGCAATAGAGGGTTGGCGATGGTGACGGCTAAGTTTGCTGTCTTTTCCAATTCTTCTCCACATCTAAATGTAATCATTTAGGATTTTATATGGAGGGATCCAACTAAATCATCTACAAGATTTCTCTGGTTTTAATATTTATAACTTTTTGCTGAAATGAGGAATAAAGGCCACACAAGGAGAAAAGTCTAGAAAAGATTATGAAGGCAAGAGCTGCGCCCATGTGCTCAAAACAACACGTGAGAACACGAGGACAGGCCTGGGAAATGATGCAACGCATCCATCTGTGCGGCAGGAAGGGCACAAGTCTGGGAAGCCGGTGGCCTGAGTTAAAGCAGTCTCTGCAGACTGCCGACCGCCTACCAGGCAAACACCAAACACCCATCCTGTGCCAGGGGCGCTGAGCCCGGGCAGCACTGAGCCCCTGAGGCTACGAATGGGAAAGGTGCTGTTCGTACTCGCCAGGAGGGTCAGGACAAAATGCCACAGAGGGGGGCTCTCACGGGGGGGCTCTTATGGGGGGGCTCTCGCAGAGGGGGGTTCTCACGGGGGGAGCTCTCATGGGGGGGCTCTCATGGGGGGGCTCTCACAGGGGGGCTCTCATGGGGGCTCTCACGGGGGGGGGCTCTCAGGACAAAGTTGATTCTTCTCACATTTCTGGAGGCAGGAACTCCAAGGAGGAGGCCAAAGGCCGGGGCAGCTGCTAAGGCCTCTCTCTTGGGCTGCCGAATGGCTGCTGTCTTAGCTAGGCTCCATAGTGCAGCAGTATAGACTGGGTGACTTAGAAACAGCAAAAACTGACACCCAAAAGTAGGGCTGCTGAGATGGTGACCAGATTCAAGAGTTGCCTTCCTGGGGCTGGAGAGATGGCTCAGTGGTTAAGAGCACCGTCTGCTCTTCCAAAGGACGCAGGTTCAGTTCCCAGCACCCACATGGCAGCTCACAACTGTTTGTAACGCCAATTCCAAGGGATCTGACGCCTTCACACTAATGCACATAAAATAAAAATTGAGTAAATTAAAAAAAAAAAAGTCACCTTCCAGTGTACAGACAATTCATACAGTGGAGATTAAGAGTTGCCAAGGGTCCCTTCCTACGAGGACTCTAACCCCATTCATGGGCGGCCCACCGTTGTGACCTGACCACCCACAAAGCCACTCCCCAGCGAAATCACATCAGGAACCCAGGCTGCTTTGCACGCAGTGCCCCACAGGCATGCCGAGCCAGAGGCCCAGGGAGCCAGGTCCCCTGGGGCCGGAGTCACAGGGTTACCAAGCGCTCTGAACCCAGGTCCTCTGCAAGAGCAGTGGTTCTTCCCTGGTCCCAGACCCCTCAGCACCAACCCAAGGTGTGAAGAGCACCTGTTCTCTTCGTGCCTTTTAGTATCATCAGTCACGATTGGGACGCACCCTTAAGATCCTTTACCGTGGGTGTGCAAATCTCATTTTCTCCAAGTGGATTAGAGACTATCATAAACACCTTATTTTAGCTTAATTACGGTTTCAGAACGCTGTCTGCAATAATTCTTTCTAAGGCAGCAGATGGCAGATATTCAGTGTGTGAGTTAGGCAGGGTGCGGTTCAGTCCATAACGGATTTCAAGTCACCAATCATGCAGGAATAATTCAGGCACAGAACTCACCTGTAATCCCTTCGATGGAGAGTCAGAGTTATAGAGGCTGCTAACGTCCAAGGACAGCAACAAAAATGGAAGCTTGAGGATCAGGAGTTCAAAGCCAATCCAGCTAAAATACAGAGACCCTATCTCAAAAAAAAAAAGAATAGTTTAAGCCAGGCAGTGATGGTACAAACCTTTAATCCCAGCACGCAGAGGCAGAGGCATCTGAGTTGGAGGCCAGCCTCGTCTACAGAGTGAGTTCCACAATAGCCAGGGCCACACAGAGAGACTCTGTCTCAAAAAAAAAAAAAAAATCCTTTAAACAAACTAAGAAACATGCAAAGGCACGCTTGATTGACAGTTCCCACGGTTCTCTGGATAAAGTCCAGAATGCCAGACAAGCACATACAACTAACTACATCGCCAATCTGCCATCATTGACTTTAACAGGAAATAGCACCAAAAAATCAGAGCAGGTATCTTGTGGGCCCAGTTCTAGACTGACATTCTCAAATCTGTAAACCTTCATCTTTTCATAATTTGTCCTGGTTGTTTGTTTGCTGACACAAACTAGGATCCACTGAAAAGGAGCCTCCCTTGAGAAAATACCTCCTTAGGACCGGCCTGTTTCTTGACTGATGACCAACAGAGAGGGCCCAGCTCACTCCAGGCAGGGAGACCCTGGGCAGGTGTGTGAGGAAGCAGACCGGGCGAGCCAGTGAGCAGTGCTCCTCCGTGGCTTCTGCCTCAGTTTCTGTCTCCAGATCTAACCTTGAGTTCCTGCCCTAATGTCCCTCAGGAAGTTTTGGAATGTGACTGGAGAGCCGAAATAAGTCCGTCCTTTCTAGAGTTGCTTTTGGTCGTGGGGTTTTATCGCAACAATAGAAACCCTAAGGGAAATTCTGTGTTATATTAACTGATTTTTTTGTGGGTCACACATGTCACACAGGGATGTGTGAAAGGCAGAGGACAAGCTTCAGGGGGTCAACATTCTGTCTCTGCCACAGGAGTCCCAAGGGCAGGACTGGGTTGCCACGCCTTTCCCTGCTAAGCCGCGTCACCAGCCTTTAAACCTTCATCTTTTGTTGTCATAAAGATATTTCAGAGGTGGGCTTGGCCCTATACATCGATAGTCCCAGCTACCCAGGAAGCAGATTCGGGAGGCTCACTTAAGGCCGAGAGTTAGCTGTAAGTCCGAGCTGACTAGCAAGGCCTCATCTCAACTCGACATGGTAGGAGAATCGACAACCGAGGTGTGGTCTCAGGGAGTCTGTCCCCGAGGACAAACACAAATGCCATCCTCTGAATACTTAACTGGAATTGTCGACTCAGACAGAGCAACTGGAGGTCAGACGGAACCCTGGTTTGCAGTGTGTGCTGCTGTGCTCACCTGATTTTCAGTGTTTACCTTGGGAGACCGCAGTCTCAGGGACTGCGTCAGCCTCTCAAGCTCAGGAGCCACTTTCTTCGCCTCCCCAGCTAAGCTTTTCGGTAGACTTGTTCTTTCAAGATGTATTTGCTTTTGCTTCGTATATGAGTGCCTTGGAGATGAGAAGAGCGCATTGGGCTCCCTGGAGCTAGAGTTGCAGGCGACAGCAGGGGCCATGCAGATGCTGGGAGTCAAATCTGGGTCGCTGCTGCAAGACCAGCGTGTGCTCTCAACCACCGGGCAGGCTCTCCAACCTGCGGCTAGACTGTAAGCCTCAGTTCTTTATCCATTTACAATAGTCCTCTTTTGGCGTACCCTAGAGCCCAGTGGACAGGGAGACCAACAGACAGAGACACACAGGCACAGACTGTGCTGTCCAGGACTTTCCTCTCCAAGCCTCTGGAAGTAACCACAGGTGTGTTTCCCTCCAACAGGGGTCGCCAGAAGCCATGGGAGCCAACCCCAGGCTCCCGGGAGGTGGCTCTGGGAAGGTGGCCAAGAGTGTGAATGCAGAGGTCAGTATTCAGCCTTGCCCGCAGGGCTGGCGCCACTGTGGCCCTCACCCTCCATCTTCCTCGAGCCCCTCTGAGACCAGGGCAGATGTTATCTGAGATAACCTCAGCACACCACCAGAGTACCTGCTTTCTCTGGGTCTCATGCCGGAGCTGGACGCCTACCAGGAGCTACCTGCTCAGAGCTAGCCCAGCCACAAGCTGCACCCCAAATTCTCAGCACTGCCTTCTCAAAGGCTTTGTACTTTTTCCTGACCCCCACCCACATGTCTCAGACCAGGTCTTAGCCTGATGCTCCTTATAGAAAGAACTAAAAGCGGAAGGAATGCGGCTCTGAAAAGATGTCCCAGCCTTGTTTTTGCATTCTTCAGTGTCCGCAGCGAGACTGCATGCCCCCTAAACATGTCAGCAACTCCCTGCCCACAGAGCCCACAAAAACCGGTTTAGAAATCCTGGGTTCACACAGCTTGAGGTCTCCATTCCTCTCTGTTGACCTTCCCCACCCCCACCCCCCACCCCCCCAACCCCAGTGTAGAGAGGCCCAGAGGGCTCAGAGGCCTGCCTCTGAGTCCCCACTCTCAACCATACCAACCCTCCTAAGCAGCAGCCTGTTGTTACAGATTGGCTCCTGAAAGCCCCGAAGAGAAACCCCAGAGCTGTGCTGGGGCCACCGAGGAAGCAGTGTCCCTGTGACCATGTCAAGGGCAGTGAGAGAACGAGCAGTAAGTTTCAAGGATGGCCTTCCCTAACCACACTCGGTCCTGTGGAGTCACTGGGGGGGGGGGTGGAGGCAAGGCCAAGGAGACCAAAGCAAGCACGTGCGTCAACTAGCCCCTTCCTATTCAGTGCCAACTTGTAGGAAAACCGAAAGGGCAAAACCATTAGGATAGACTGATTCTGGAACTAAAAAGGTTTAATCAAATTCTTAGAGTCTAGAACAGCAGCATTTATCAAAGTAAAAGGAGGTGAGGCAGCTGTGACCTCTCATTAATTTCCGACGGTGACAGCAGCATCTGTGTGGAACAGGATTTTGACTCTTTCTTCATTTGGCAGCTGGTTTTCTGTGTTTTCATTGTGTGTGGGCATTTTGCCTGCATCTGTTTCAGTGCGCAATTACGTCCTTCAAAGGCCCAGAGAGGGAATTCGACCCTCCGGGACAGGGTCACACATGGCTTTGAACCACCATGTGCTAAGCTGGAGCCTGCAAAGGGGCGAGTCTGGCCTCAATCAGGGGCCAGAAAGATGGCGCGGAAGGTAACGGTGTCTGCAGCCAAACACGGTGGCCTGAGTTCAGCCTCTGGACCCGCACGACAGCAGACAGACTCTGAAAGCTGTGCTCTGGCTCCCACAGTTCTACAATTGCACCAGTGCAACCCCACTAAACTGAAATATAAGAAAACACTTGGGGTGTGTGTGTGTGTGTGCGTGTGTGTGTGTGCGCAAGGTACCAGCACAGGTGTAGAGGGCAGAGTGGGGTCTCTTCTTCCACCTTGTCAGTCTCTGGGACTGAACTCAGGTCACAAGTTTTGGCAAGCACCTTCACCTGAAGAACCATCTCTTCCTCCCTTGTTTGCCTTTTTGATTCTTTTCAGTTTTGTTTTCAAGACAGGGCCTCACTATGTAGCCCTGGACTCACTTTGTAGCCCAAGCTGGCCTCGAACTCAGCGCTCCGCCCCTCCTGGCTAGTTTGGCTTTTTGAGATGGATTTTCATCTTAGCCTGAGCCTGCTGATGTCATGCTGACAGAGAGCACATTGCCCCTGCCTGAGCGCTGGCGCTGCAGACATGCACACCACAGCCAGTGCCCCTCACTGGTTTAAAGAGCTGGAGGGTCAGCTCAACCGGTAGAAGCCTCTTTCAGAGGACCAGACTGGTCAGCTGGTGCTGGCGCTCACCTTTAATCCCCGGAACCCGGGAGGCAGAGGCGAAGGATTTCTGAGTTCGAGGCCAACCTGTTGACAGAGTTCCAGGATAGCCGGGCTACACAGAGAAACCCTGTTTCAAAATAAGATAAAATCAGAGGACCGGAGTTTGGTTTGCAGCGCACAGATCAAGTGTCTCCCAACCCCTATGACTCCAGCTCCAGGGAATCTGAGATTCTCTTCTGACCTCCTCCGGCACTCACACACACACACACACACACACACACACACACACAAACACACAAATAAAGAATTTTTAAGTTTTTAATGATAGCACCCTTTTCTCTGTGCCCTAGGACACCAAAAGCACCGCAGGAAGCCACAAAGGCCCTCCAGAACCTGCCAACAGTTTCTCAAACGATGTCAGCTAGCAAGTTTTGCCCTGCCCTTATAGCTCTGAGAGGCTGAGTCCCAGCTAAACGCTCCCAGTGAGAAGATGATCAACCCTAGAGCCTTCTTACCCTCCGCGCCCCGTCCTCACCAGAAGCCTCCCGATGCTCTCGGAAGGCTGTGCCCACACCGAGCTCATCACTGTGCCTGCACTTCCATCTTCTCATTCTTTCCTTACGCCTCTGCTTCACCCTAAAAGAATCTAGGAAACCTCCGCCTCCTGCCGCTCTCAGTTGACCATAAATATAACCTGCCACGAGCAAAGAAAATAAATATATGAATATACATGGAGAGTGTTGGTTATTTCAATCAAATGGGGTCAACTGATATGTCCCCTTCTGCCCTGTCCATCTGAAACCCATCTCAGAGTCTACACATCCTTGTCTCTCCTTAACCCTCATTCTGTGTTGCCTGATTCTTATTCTTTCACTTATTCAGAGGGGCAAGGTCTGGACAGACCTAGCAGACACGTAAGGTCCTGGATCAGACACTGCCTGGTTAAAAACAATAAAGGTTTAAGAACTGTGGTTTCTCAGCATCTAGTCAGCCTCCCATGTTTATGACTCTATCATCATCATCATCGTCATCATTGTCATCACCATCGTCACCATCGTCATCATCCTCACCATCATCACCGTCATCATCGTCCTCACCACCGTCATCGTCCTCACCACCATCACCGTCATCATCGTCACCACCATCATCACCGTCATCATCGTCCTCACCATCATCACCGTCATCATCGTCCTCACCACCATCATCCTCACCATCATCACCGTCATCATCGTCACCACCATCACTGCATTCTGTGGGCTTCTTATATAGTACAGAGATAGAAATGCAGAAACACAGTTCGAGTCTAGAGAGATGCTATGGGGGATCTCAGCTGACATCCAAAGAGGTTTTGAGCCTATAGAAATAGGATGAGGTCAGTTTTTGTTTTGTTTTTTACTTTTTAGCATGGCCATAAGCTGGTCAGACAATTCAGCCGCCAGCCGGGTGCAAGAATGAGCGAAGAGGAAACTATTATTCAAAGTGCGGACCCCTCAGGCACTCCTCTGCAGCAGTAGAGGGAGACTAGCAAACTATGGCGTGCACACCCATGGGCACACAACTGGGGAAATGGAGACAAGAGGGCTGAAGAGCGACGCCAGCCCGGGCTACATGAGAGTCCCATCTCTGGGGCAGGAAACGCTCATCCGGCTCATCCCAGATGAAGAATCATCCCAGATGAAACAGGAGGCTGAGTTCAGATTGCCCTTCTTCTGAGAAGGGGGAGTCGGTCATTTTAACTGAGTGCTGAGTGGGTGGGGCCTATTTATGACACAAGAGGGGAGCCCCTCCCTTCCTGCAAACAGTCCTGGCACCCACCCGAGCCTCCTCCTAGTCCTAATCCCTCTCCCCAAGTAAGAGGTGCTGCAGAGTGGTGGCTGGAGGGGGCCGGCGGTGAGGAACCCACAGGCCAGCTGTAAAAACAGGAATGCCCAGGCAAAGGATTCGAGCCCACAGTGGGGTGCCATCATGAAAGATCTGTAGGAGAGAGGCCTGAAGGGGACGGGCAGAGGATGAAGCCTCGGAGACCAACTTCTTTCCCAAGGGAGGTAGCAAGTGTGGAGCCAAGCTCTACCTCAGTATGCAGGCCGGAAGGGAAGCCTGAGACACAGCAGAGAGCCATGAGCCGGCCAGACTCTGAGCCGGCCCGGCCAGCATCAGCCGTGCTGCAGGGCCTGGGAACCCCACAGAAGCCAAGTCTCCCGAGCGAGCCTGCCCAGCACGAGGCCGAATCCCAGCAGGAACCGAGAGGTCAACAGAAATCTGCTCTCCAGGCCCGTCTGGCCCCAGTCGCCTCTGCTGCACAAGAATCACCCCCCCAGAAAGCGCACTTAGCTCAACAGGAAGACACCTCCCACCAGCCACCCGGGATGGGAAGAGGGTTCGTAAGCCAACAGGACGCACTCAGAGAAGAGCAGGTGGGGATTCCGGGGCCTGGGCCCAGAGAGCCACCTCTGGGTCCACAGCAAGTGGACACATCTGCGGCCCAGGCTGCATCTGGAGCCGACCCCAAACTCCACACCCAGCCTGCCTCTGGATCCCGAGAGAGACCTGAGCTGGCCGCAGCCCAGCAAAGCCCGCTCGACCAGAGAGCCAAGTCCAAGCACGGATCTGTGGCGGAGTCGGGCTTCCTGACACGGCTGCACGAGCTCTCCATTCCAAGGAGCGCCCACGAGTGGAGGACCTTTTTTGACTGGGTCACAGACTCTGACACAGAGGCACATCTGAGCTCGTCCTCAAGCTCAGTTCCTCCCAAGCCGAGCTGTGCAACAGTGGGCCCGGGACCGTCACTGCCCTTCAAACGGAAACCTGATTGTGAAAAGATGGCAGGCTATGGTGGGAAATCACATGGAAAGAAAGCCACCCTCCAGAATCACGAACACTACTGGGGCACAGGTGAGTGTGAACGGGGACGACGAGCCTTCCAGGGCCAGTCACGCATCCGTGCTGACTTTGTGTCTAGGGTTATGACCCGCAGGTCACCTCCAAACGCCCCTGTGAAATCAAGTGCGACAGCCCCAGTCTGTAGAAAAGGAAAACAGCAGACGCAGGACAAAACCAGGGTTTCTCCTTTTGCACCAGGCTGCCCCATAAAACATAGGAAAGAGACAGGAAAGAGCTCTGACTCAGGAATCAGGTCAAAGAAAAACCGTCTTCCTCCTAGCATTCATCCGTGAGTCCCGGCAGAGGGGTGGCTGAGCACTGGCTGTGAGGCAAATGTAGCAGTAGGCCACAGCAGCTCAGTGTGGGCCTTCCCTTAGCCACTGTGGTGTGAGCTAGCTCAACAGCCAGGACATTCATGGCCTGTTTCATGGTGATCAGAAGCTTGGGAAAGGGTCAAATGGCAAGGTCGAGGCTGAATGAAAGCAGCCTGATGAGGTGCAGACCAAGGCACTTTTCTTCCTTGTACCTCTCTGAAGCAAAAAGAGGGAACACCATAGAGCCCCATCCTGACAGGAGCTCGGGGAAAGTCACAGTCCTGACAGGAGCAGGGAAAGTCACAGTCCTGACAGGAGCAAAAGGAAAGTCACAGTCCTGACAGGAGCACAAGGAAAGTCACAGTCCTGACAGGAGCAGGGAAAGTCACAGTCTTGACAGGAGCAGGGAAAGTCACAGTCCTGACAGGACCTCAGGGAAAGTCACAGTCCTGACAGGAGCAAAAGGAAAGTTACAGTCCTGATAGGAGCAGGGAAAGTCACAGTCCTGACAGGACCTCAGGGAAAGTCACGGTCCTGACAGGAGCAGGGAAAGTCACAGTCCTGACAGGAGCAGGGAAAGTCACAGTCCTGACAGGAGCAGGGAAAGTCACGGTCCTGACAGGAGCAAAAGGAAAGTCACGGTCCTGACAGGAGCAAAAGGAAAGTCACGGTCCTGACAGGAGCAGGGAAAGTCACGGTCCTGAGGGCCTGGGGTGGTGATGGTCTTTCACCTCAGGGAGCCGGCCCTCCTCCCCAAGGGCCCGCTCTGAGAGAAGGTCGAGGCTTTCTTCTCCCACGCTCCGGATTCCAGAAGCTTCCAGCGTGCTCCGCTGAGGCGAGGCGGCTGCAGCCTCCTGTTTCCCGCCTTTTCCCGGGCAGCTGAGCTCCCGCGGGGAGGCCCCTCAGCAGGGCGGGCCTGGGCCGCCAGCCGCTGGGCAGGGCGGAACCTTCTCTTCCCCACTCCTGCAGCCCCGGGTTCTGGGGAAGAAGACGGGACGGAGCGGGGGCCACAGAGCCACGGAGCGACAGGGACCGGGCGGGAGGGAGTCTGACCCGAGGGCGGGAGGGGCCGTTGGTTTGGTTTGGTTTTTTCGGAGCCATGGCGGCCAGCCGCGGCTACCGGGTGGGCGACGGGCCAGCGGCCCTGTCCGGGCGCGGGGGAGAGGGCGGGGCTTCCGCCACGGCTGCCAGGGCGGCCCCGCCCCAGCCCCAGCCCCGCCCCCAGCCCCGCCCACGCCCCAGCCCCGCCCACGCCCCCGCGCGCCGCTTCTTCCCCACCCACCCCGGGGGGCAGGGGCGCGGGGCGCTGAGGCGCGGCGCCTCACGGGCCGCCAGCATCCCCTGCGGCGAGGCCCGCGCGCCCGCGGCCCCGCCCCGAGGCCGCCTCCCGCCGCCGCCGCCGGGCTCGCCTTTCCCTCCGCCGCCCGCGGCGCCTTTAACGCGAGCCAGCCGCGGCCGCGCCCTGGCCCCGCCCACTGGAGGCGGGGCCGGCGAGGAGCGGGCCCGCGCTTGGGCGGCTTGGGGGCCCGGCGGTGGTGTGTACTGGGGGAGGGACTGCGCGCTGGACCGGGCCCGCGCCGGGGCCGGGCAGGACGATGGAGCCCGCCGTGGAACCGGGGTCCGTGGGGCCCCCGGCCTCCAGGCAGCCCAGAGAGGGGCCGAAGAGCCGCGGTCGCCGGGGGTGGCGAAAAGGCAAGGTCAAAGGTGAGCCGGCGGCACATCCCGCGGGGCACTGGGTGGACGGGCCCACTTCCACGCGGGACGCCCGTGGCCTGAGCCGCCGTGGGGCTGGTGTGAGAGTGGGAGGTCCCACCCGCACGTAGGAGCTACCGGCTGCCCCAGCGCGCTCTGCGGAAAGGCCCGGGAACGCCGTCTGTCCGGACAGGGTCCCGCTCGGTGCCTGATTTTCCCTGTGTGTGACCAAGAGTGACAACCTTGACCTTAGGGTTCTGGGCCTGGGAAGTGGTTCAAGCGCCGATTTTCATGTCTTCTGCGCTCGTAAAAGAATAATGGGGAAGAACTGTAGCAGCTTTTGCCAAAAGAGGAAGGAGGATAGGCGAGCAAAAGGTAGGCTCGGGGTACACGACCCCCGAGAACGCTCACAGCCCCCCTTCACTCTCGGGCCACCTGTTTCGGCAGCCCAGCAACTCTGGGGCGACTTCCACACGTGAGAACTTTCCAGGTGGCTTTGTCCCTTCCACACCTCCTTCAGGGAGAGGGGAAGGTTTCAGCTTCCCTGGGTCTAAAGGCTGGAGAGACAGTGACAGACCAACCAGAGGGGTCGCAAGGCTCAGCAGGAGCTGCTAACCCTGGCTCGGCTCTGAGTCTCCTGTTTTGTGGCACTACCTAGCCAAACCTAGAGGCTGGTGAATGCTAAGGCGCTCGGCCCTCCCTCCGCCTGCAGCTCCAGGGGCCTCCTCAGGCCCACCGAGGGCTGGCTGTGCAGGCGAAAACAAAGAGGAGAAAGAAAAACCCGGCATGGCTCCCGAGCCCCCAAATTCATCATCCCCTGCCTCCCTTGGTAGACAAGTATTACAGACACGTGGAGGGTGAGCTGGCCCAGACAAGTTGGAGCTCAAGCAGGAGGTTGAAAAGAGCCTCCTGGCCACAGCAAGGGTACACAGCAGGACCCTACGCTCTGAGGCAACGTGGAGCCTGTGTCTCAGAGACCCGTTCAACAGGCTCCTCTTCCTGCCTTTTCTCCGAGTTCTGAGCAGCACCTGTAGCGCTGTCCGGTTCGAATGTGGGCCATTTTCCACACAGCCGGGAGAAGTGGGTGTGAGGGTACTGTCTGTCTCTGCGAGACACCAAGCTCCCCAAGAGTGGGCTTGGGTCACCTTGTTTACCTAGAAGCCCTGCCACGCGCACATTCAGGTATTTATTAGATGGATAAGGGAAGGAATGTGTGGAGTGTGACACGGACTATTAATAGCTGAGCTGCCCTTAGTGTTGTGAGGAGTCAGAAAGAATCTGCTTGAGTAAGGCTCCTTGCACAGGGCCCAGCCTATCACAAAGATGGCAGCTCTGCCTGTCATTTCCTGAGGCTCTTCCTGGTGCCCTTCCTCAGACCTGTGAGTCAGGTCCCACCCCTGCTCCAAGGGAACCCTGACTGGCTGGAGCAGTCTTTGATTCACGCCGTCCTGCCAGTAACTTCATGAGACTGCTGTCATTATGATCAGCCCATTTCCCAGATAGTGACACAGAGGCCCTGAGCCAGCTGCACTTCCTTTACCTGGCCAGTGAGGGCAGAGGGACACATCCAGCCTTCCCAGCAAGGAGTGTGGCAACTGATGACCGCCCTGTGTCCCACCTTCATTCTGCAGCTGAAGGGCCCCTGCCGCAAAGATTCTCTCCCAGCTCAACACCTGAGGTGCCGGCTGTGGCTTTCTGTAGCTATCAGGACAGACTCAAGACCTGGGGACACAGACGGGAAGACTGGTTGCCAGGCTACCAGCCCACACCTCTGATCCCATTGGGGATCAGAGTCAGGAGAATCACCATTAGTCCCAGGCAAGCCTGGCAGCTACACAGTGAGTTGCCGGCCAGTCAGGACTACAGAGTGAGACTCTGGCTGCTCGTCCAGTGGACCTGGGTTCAATTCCCACAACCACATGGCAGTTCACAGCTGTCTGCAACTTCAATTCCAGGGGATCCAGCACCCTCACACAGACGTAGATGCAGGCAAAACACCAATGCACGTAAAATAAAGATCCAAAGCCAAGCATGGTGGCCCGCGCCTGTGATCCCAGCCCTCAGGAGGCAGAGGCAGGCGGAGCTCTGTGAGTTCAAGGCCAGCCTGGTCTACAGAGAGAGTCCAGGACAGCCAGGGCTACACAGAGAAACCCTGTCTTGAAAAACAATAAATATCGGTCATTAAAAAAGCTTATAAACAAGCAAATGTAATAAATACAGCAAAAGGAAAAGATCTTGGGAGTCGGGTTCCGCTTAGCCACCGGAGCATGTGACGGCACAGATCCCGAGGTGCTCTCCAGGACCTTGTCGGCGTGGCGGCACACAGGCACACGCCTGGACTCAGAAGTGGGAAAGCGGAGGCAGGAGGACAGAAAGACATTCAAGGCCATCCATATTTACGCGTGAGTCTGAGGCCAGCCTTGAATACATGAGAAAAAGAGCCCTGTCTTCAGAAGGAGAGAATCTTGAGCAAGGGAGGTAGGGAAACAGGGCAGCAGGAGCAAAAAAAACCTTGATGGGAAAAGCAGCAACACAGGACAGTACAGAGGGGGCCTGGCTGGAGGGAGCTGGGGACAGAGCAGGGGCCAGCAGGGTGGGCCAGAGGCGGGGGGGGGGGGGGGAGAAGGCCATGTCTGAGACAGAAGTGTCGAAGTGTCGCCCTGGGAGGAAGGGTGGCCAGGGTTGCTTCCAGAAGATCCTGCGGTGCTCTGCAGGAGACAGCCCTACATCAGCGGCGCTCGGAGAGCCCTAACACAACCAAGGGAGGACGGGAGGCCTGGGTGTGGTGGCATGCACGGCCCCCGGTTCCTAGTGCATGGGGCTGGGGGCTGGCTCAGATGGCGGGAGGGTGGGGAGATGGCATGAGAACTCTCTCAGTTTCTGCTTAAGCCAACAGTGAATTCTGTTCTCAGCAAACACAAACACACATGGAGACTGCACACACCCAAACACGCATATAGATTCTTTTTGTTGTCTTTATTCTCATTTAGTTTTCTGTGTTCGTTTTGGAGGCAGGGTTCATGTATAAATCCCAGGCTGGCTTTGAACTCACTGTAGCTGAGATGACTTTGAACATCAGATCCTCTCGTCTCTACCTCCACAGTGCTGGGATTATAAATGTGCACCCCCAAGACCGTCTGTACAGGCTTGGGGATCAAACCCAGGGTTTGTGTGTGCTCGGCACACCCTCCACCAGCTGAACCACGTCCTAAAAACAGGACACACCCATACAAGCCGGACATCCAAGACAAAACACACAGTCCCAGGTCAGGACACACACGATACACACCCTAAAAACAGAAGCACATCCATACAAGCCGGAAATCCAAGACAGCATAGTCACAGGTCAGGGCACATACGATACACACACCCTCAGACATGTCAAGAAACATGAAAGCACATTGCTGTGCTGCATCCAGGAACCAAAGTCCAGGCCTGAGAAGCTGGCAAGTGGCTCCTCAGGGCAAAGGGCTGGAGGAGCAGGAGCACGGTTTAGGGCAGAACATTTGTCCAGCGTGGACAAGTGTGACCCCAGCACCAGCAGGGGAAACCGTCTCTCAGGGCAAAGGGCTGGGGCCTAGGCCCCTCCCCCACAGCCGAGTCCCCCAGCCTACCTTTGCCCCATTCCTGCCATTCCTGCCATGGCCCCATCGGGTGTGCCCTTACCCCAGTGCCCTCTGCCTGGGATTCTGGCAATCTCAATATCCCTTCCTCCTAGCTCCAGCCAGCCCGGTCTTCAGGGAACTGTGCTGAGTGAGGCAAAGAGCAGGGCCTCAAGTCCCAAGGACTGGGGAGCCAGCCCTTCCCTGCTGCTTCTTCACATGCTTGCTCTTCAAAAGTTCTTCATCCCTGAGGAGCACCCCAACCCGTCCTCCCCACGTGCCCGGGCGGGAGGGCAGTCAGCAGGCGAGCCTGGCAGGTACAACTTGGGGGCTAGAGAATCTCCTGGGGACGCAGTTAGGAAATCACACAGTGGAAGGGTAGTGACAAGGGCTGCGAGGAGAGAGAACCAAGCGGCATCTTGGGCTGAGTGAGCCAGGAGCAGCACACACTGCCTCCCTGGCGGGTGTCACTCCAGAGTCACACATGCTTACACACAGGCGTATCTGGGTTCCACTCCCAGGCCGGGCTGGGCAGAGTGGCTCAGCACGGTCTCCACATGAGGGTCACCCAGCAAGTGACCTGGCCCGTGCCCCCCACCGCTTAGCTCACCTGCCCCCGAGGCTCTGGCGCTTTTCTGTTTGTGGCCCTGGGAAAGGACAGCCCTCTCCCCTTCACACGTTCACTGGTGGGCTTTGGGGCCACCCTCCCCTCCATCAGGACGGCAGTCCAAGGACAGACACTGAGGACTCACCCCAGCCAAACACCGGGAGCCCTCGGGGCCTCTCCTCCACACAGCTCGTTCAGAGGCCCTACGCCTGGCTTTGCATGTTTGTGATTTTGTGTTCCTCAAAACAGCCGTACTCCACGTTTTGAGCTTTCTGCCTCTTTCCTAGGGGAGGCAGACTGCAAAACGTGCACATGCTAGGGCAGAAGCGAGGGTGGACCTTAGCAGTGGGGAGAAGCAAGGCGAGGCCCACCTCCGGCTGAGGCCTGAGGGCGAGGAGGAGCTGCTGGGCAGGAGCTTGTGGAAGAGCCTCGAAAGTATGAGCCTTGGCCCCCCCGTATGTGACATGGACTTGACTGGCAGCAGGGTCGGCTGTGAAAGGTAAACCAAGGCTCCAGGTAGGGATACCACCCCGGAGGCTGTGGCCCAGGCCCGGGCTGAGTTTGGTGCCGCCCTCAGTCGGCTTCTGCCCTCACAGGAGGAGAAGCAGAGCTGCCCACTAACAGCTGGGGACAGCTGTGCCAGGGCCAGTCAGGGTGGAAACTGACATCACTGAACTCTGACTCCTTGAATCCACTTGGGGGAGAAGGAGGACAGCTTGGCTGGGTGAGAGGGGACAGGGTGTTCAGGACTCAGGCATGGGAAGCCGGGGTCCTAAGGGACAGGACTGGGACTGGATCCCTCATATGAGGAAGAGGAGGTTGAGCAGGGAGGAGCTGGGGCAAGGGCGACCGGCTGTGAGCGGGGGCTGGGGGCGGGATCCAGGGCTCTAAAGAAGAGAGCCTGGCACCGGGACTGTGCCGAGCGGAGCAGCAGGCAGGCAGGAGGGGCAAGGAGCTGAACTCTGGGCTCTGTTTACGACATGTGATTCTCAGTATCCATTCTGGACGGGCGGTGAAGCAAACGGCCACACCCTGGCCAGCCTGGCCCCTCCCCAGTTTATCGCCCCAGGCAGCTACTGGCACTAGCCACAGACCTGCTGTGCCAGCCTGGGGAGCTCCAGTCCAGAGCGGCCGGGAGCGGTGAGTGCAGGGCCAGCTGAGACAGAATGGCTGCTGCCAGAACCCAGGCCTGGAAGGGAGAGGACACGCTGTCTTCTCCAGGAAAAGGCTGCAAAGCCAGGAGCCAGGAGGGCCTAGACCTCTGGAAGGGCAGGTTGACCCAAGGGCCAAGGGCAACTCAGCCCAAAGTGTGATAGCAAGGTCTAGGTAACAGATGTCCCGGGAACACAGGCTCTAGGGAGCACACAGAGGGCCCTGAGTTCGGGGGCCGGCAAAGCGTGGAGCCAGGTTTGGGGCGGCTGCAGGGGAGCTTTGAGAGTCCTGGGAGAGACACTACAGGCGCAGGGGCCTGGACCCAGATGCCAGCGTCTCTGTGGACCCCAACATCATCCGTTCAGCCTCTGGCTCCTTACCAACCTCAGCGTCTCCTCCTGTGAAGGAGGGTGCTGGCAGCAACAGATCTGAGCCAAGGAGTCCCGGGTCTCTGGGAACTAACCCTCAGCCTGGGTTTGGCTGCTGAGGTCAACATGAGCCGTTTCAGGCGGGAGAGAGGGACAGTGCGGTCTAAGGCAGGTGCACAGGGAGAGTGGGCAACTGTAAGCGGGGATGCTGAGGTCTGGGAGCCCCACAGGGAGATGAGGAGGGAGATGGGTTCTGGAAGGGATTCCGTGGGCGGGCAGGCTTGAGTGAGCAGGAGCGAGTCCGAGGTATGGAAAGGCTGGGATTATAGACGGCGCTCAGGAGGAGGCCAGATGTGCAGGGCGACCCGGGGAGGTGGGGATGGCTGCGTTGACGCTCAACCACTGTCTGTTAGAAAGGGTTTGCAGGCAACCCCGGGAGCCTCAGAAGGAAAGTGGGAATGGGGCTTGAGAAAGGGAACCGCTGGGCATCCAGATTTCCCAGAAGGAGGAGGACAAGTCCAGAGAGAGTAAACAAAGATAGGAGTTCACTCTTGAATACCTGGAAGGAAGTGGGGGGGGGGGCTCTGTAGTAAAGGCACACTAGGGTCCAGACGTGCTGGACTCCGGCAGGGACTCCCAGATCCAGGAGGGCGGGGAGCCAGGGCAGCTCCCAGATCCAAGAGGGCGGGGAGCCAGGGCAGCCGAGAGGACCAGAGTCAGGGCTTCAACGCCCCGCTGCTAGGCAGAAGGAGGAGGAGGAGGCCTCAGACTTCTGGAAGCCAAGAAGAGAGCCTAGGTGTGAGAGCTGGAGGCCCTGCCTGCCCCAGAGGTGCGGAGCAGCCTTTGGGCGTGAGGAAGGAGGAGCTACAGCTTTGGATCTAAGCAAGGATGGGCCCAGGGAAGAGAGGTAGGACCTGGGCTCCTGGGCCTGACAGACCTTGCATCTTCCCACAGCTTCTGCGTTCTCACACAACATGGATCTCCGCACAATGACGCAGTCACTGGTGACACTCGCAGAAGACAACATGGCCTTCTTTTCAAGCCAGGGCCCGGGAGAGACCGCGCGGCGGCTGTGCAACGTCTTTGCAGGTGTTCGGGAACAGGCAGTGGGGCTGGAGCCAACGCTAGGCCACCTGCTGGGTGTGGCACACAATTTTGACCTGGACACCGAAACGCCAGCCAATGGATACCGTAGCTTGGTGCACACGGCCCGCTGCTGCCTGGCACACCTACTACACAAATCCCGCTACGTGGCCTCCAACCGCCGGAGCATCTTTTTCCGTGCCAGCCACAACCTGGCAGAGCTGGAGGCCTACCTGGCCGCCCTCACGCAGCTCCGTGCTCTGGCCTACTATGCCCAGCGCCTGCTGGTCATCAACCGGCCAGGGGTGCTCTTCTTTGAGGGTGATGAAGGACTCACGGCTGACTTCCTGCAGGACTATGTCACGCTGCACAAAGGCTGCTTCTATGGCCGCTGCCTCGGTTTTCAGGTGAGCGCCTGCCCCTGTCCTCCCAGTGAAGGCGCTGGTGGCTGGCGCTGCGTCCTTGAGCCACGCTAATCAGAGCTCCTGCACAGGACTCAGACCACAGATTGGCAGGGAACGCTGGCAGGAGCTCAGAGCTGGACTCTGGGGTTAGCTCACGACCCTCGACCACATCTGCCACACCTTAGAAATCGCTTCACCAGCGGGGTCTGGTAACTCAGACCTGCCACGGCCCAGCTACTCAGGAAGCTGAGGCAGAAGGCTGCAGGGCCTGGTGGAGCTCACAGAGTGAGGTGGAGGCCGGCCTTGGTCACTTAGTGAGACCCTGGCCAAAAAGTAACAAGAAGGGGAGGGCACGCTCATCCGTACAAAACACCTGTGGCAGAGCTCAGTCCCCAGACGAGGGCCACGCTGAGGGCACACGCATCACGCTGAGGGTACACCTGTCAGCATTCCTGTGGCCAGGGCTCAGTCCCCAGACGAGGGCCACGAAAGGTTCATTTGGTTTTCCTTTCTCCTCAAGTAGCACAGGCTGAGCTTAGTCCTCGGAGTCTAGGCTCTCTGCTGCCGCGCCATATGCCGGGTCCACCCACTCTTGTCCCTGAGGTTCAAGAGTCTGAGCCCTCTGGGAGGGTAATCAGTATTGGTCTCAAAGGCCCATTCTGTGTGAGTGCAATCCTGTCGTGTTCGCTGGGACTCTAGAAGGAAGGTACCATCCACAGGCATTGGAGGAGCCCCTGGGCTGAGTTATAGAAGTCACATGATTCAAAGCGGCCCTCAGGGCAGGACCAGCATATACCCATCACGGTGGGTGGCAAGAGGAAGACGTGGCTGTGATTGCTTCCTCCCTGAGCTGGGCCTTCTGTCCTTGCCCAGCCCAGCCCACCTCAGACATGCAGCCTGTCCCCACAGGGAAAGTGAGGTGACAGGGCGCTCAGGAGGTGGAGGCAGGATTGCTTAGCAGCAGAGGCTCACCTGAGCTGCAGCAGCGACAGCAGGCAAGCCAGACAGCACAGAAAGACCCGCCTCCAATTAGTTAGAGAATTGGAGGTAGAAAACTGGAGTCAGAAGCCAGGGTTGCCCCGGTCTGCCGTCAGTGCCGACCCAAGGAACTGTCGAGCTGTATGAAGGGTTCCGGCAGGAATTCGGGGGGGGGGCTGTGTGATGTCCCTCCCGCCCTGTCCGTCCTCCCCTCACTTCACAGAGATGAGCACACCCCTCCTCACCTTCCCTGAACATCACTCAAGGCTTCCCAGCCCCGAGCAACCCAACACAATTGTTTCTGGGACTCTCCCTCAGGCAGACTAAACCCACAAATACTGTCAGCCCGCCCCGCCATCTCCCTGCTTTCATGTCCTGGCGTCAGCACAGGAAAGAAAGAAATTCCAGGCTGCCTGAATCCGTGTCCTGGCCACAAAGGCCAGGAGTGCCTGTGTTCTTTGGCTTGCTGGGGCCCTGGCCAAGAGCGTGGCCCAGGCCACCTGCCAGCTCCTGAGAACCCAGCCCCGCTAGAGCGCATCACGCTCTCAAACGTCGCCCTCCAGGAGGGCAGAGGCCTCCAGAACCGCAGCTGCGCTCAGTCCCTGCTCCCTCACAGCCTAGCGTGCTGTGCGGGGTCCGGTGTTTGCTGGGGGAGCTAACTGCTGACCCCCGGCCTGGCCTCTTGTGGCTGAGCCTCCCGTCTGTCCCTTCTCTGCCACCTGTCATGTGAAGGTCTTCCCAGTCTGCCCTGACAGCCCTCTAGCCCCGAGTTCTCTGTACCAGCCCCGAATGCCTCCCTCACCCTCTGTTCTGATTCAGGAAGTTACTGTTTCCTCTTACTCGAGGTTCACAGCCCTCCAGATGCTCAGCGTGAGTCCAGCCCCTCAGGCTGGCTTTCTGTGCCTCAAAAACCTTCCTTGCTCCTTCCCTGTCTCGCTCGGCCCCGGGCACACACGGACTCTGTGCTCCCCGTCCCTGCCCTGGCAGGAACACTCCTTTCCCCGGCTGCCCTGTGTGGCATTGCAGCGTTAGCTTCTGCCCCTTCTGCCCCTGCTCTGGCCTCTCCTGGGAATGCCCCTGTCCTCATTCAGATCCCTCCTCCTGGCCTGGCCGGCGGTCACCAGGGCAGCCCTTCATTTGTTCACCATCTCCTTCCGCTGAGGACACCAGGTCCAGGAAAGGGTCCAGGGCGATGCCCACAGCACAGGAGCTTGGTAAAGCTGAATGCGCGTACCTGCTCCTCGCTCTGCCCCATCCTCCTGTGGGTGGTGACACAGGAATCCCTTCACAGTTCACGCCCGCCATCCGGCCGTTCCTGCAGACTCTCTCCATCGGGCTGGTGTCCTTCGGGGAACACTACAAACGCAACGAGACAGGCCTCAGTGAGTGGCGGCTGGGCCCTGCCCACACCCTGTCCTGTTCCCGTTCCTAGCCTGGCTGGGCAGCCTCTGCCAGGGCTTCTTGACACCCCTCTTTCCCCCAGGTGTGACTGCCAGTTCCCTCTTTACTGGTGGCCGATTCGCCATAGACCCAGAGCTGCGTGGGTCGGAGTTTGAACGGATCATCCAGAATCTGGATGTGCACTTCTGGAAGGCCTTCTGGAACATCACTGAGATCGAGGTGCTGTCGGTGAGTCGGGGCCAAGGGAGACCCCAGCATGCTTACTGATGGAGACTGACTCCCAGACATCTAGGAAGCCACAGCCAGGCACTACCGTGCCCTAGGCCCATGGACGGCACATAGGGCAAAGACGGGGCTGAGACAGGAAGCCCACACCACCTCCATAACCCTTCCCGGGCACCTTTCTGTTCCCTCTCCAGTCTCTGGCCAACATGGCATCAACCACTGTGAGGGTAAGCCGCCTGCTCAGCCTGCCACCTGAGGCCTTTGAGATGCCACTAACCTCTGACCCCACGCTCACAGTTACCATCTCACCTCCCTTGGCACACACGGGGCCAGGGCCTGTGCTGGCCAGGCTCATCTCGTACGACCTGCGGGAAGGACAGGTGAGCCCCGGGCCCCAACGGCCGCCCCAGCCCAGCCTCCCGCAGCCCTGGAGGAGGGCAGCCCTGACCTACCAACCCTCCTCTTCACCACCAGGACAGCAAGATGCTCAACAGTCTCGTGAAGTCTGAGGGCCCACGCCTGGAGCTGCGCCCGCGGCCCCAACAAGCACCCCGCTCTCGGGCCCTGGTTGTCCACATCCACGGTGGTGGCTTTGTGGCACAGACCTCCAAATCCCACGAGCCCTACCTCAAGACCTGGGCGCAGGAGCTGGGGGTCCCGATCATCTCCATCGACTACTCCCTGGCCCCCGAGGCCCCCTTCCCCCGGGCGCTCGAGGAGTGCTTTTTCGCCTACTGCTGGGCTGTCAAGCACTGTGCCCTGCTGGGTGAGACCCAGGCCCTGCCTCCTCGGATTCTTTCCCGCCCTGCCCTGGCCGCCTGCCCTCCCCGTCCTGTCCTGCAGGGGCCACCGAGTCCCTGGGTTCTCAAGGCTCGGCCTCTCTACCGGCCCCTTACCCCTGGCCACCTGCCCTCTGCCTCTGGCGCCCGGCGTGGGCTAGCCCACCGCTGCCCACCTTCCATCTTGGCCATTTCAGCTCTGCCTACTGCCCCCCCTTCTAGCCTGGGTCTCTGGCCCCTCCCCTCCCGTCTCTTCCTCCCCAGCTGCTGGCTCATATGCCCACCTGCTTGCCAGGTCCTCACACCTCCCTCTTGGAATGCCAACACCTCAGGGGGACATGAAGGCACAGCAGAGCCTGGCCGTACCCAGCCTGAACCCTGACCTTTGGTTTCCCAACTTCTCATGTCCTTGTTGTGGGAAAACTACCCCGAGCTGCTCTTCCCCCACCCCCCGCCTGCCCTTGCTGGTGACCCCGGAACCTCCACTTCCCCAGCACAGCCACCTCATGGTCCAAATCGTCCCTCTCGCCAGGACCCAAAACGCCATTGTGAGCGATGCTGGGCGCCTGGCTCTCCAGCTCACGCCTGGCTCTTGTCCCAGCAGGCTCAACAGGAGAGCGGATCTGCCTGGCAGGGGACAGCGCGGGGGGCAACCTCTGTATCACCGTGTCCCTCCGGGCGGCAGCCTACGGGGTGAGGGTGCCAGATGGCATCATGGCGGCCTACCCCGTGACCACCCTGCAGTCCTCCGCCTCGCCCTCCCGTCTGCTGAGCCTCATGGACCCTCTTCTCCCACTGAGCGTCCTCTCTAAGTGTGTCAGCGCCTACTCAGGTAAGCCCTCGCCAGAGCCTGGCAGCTGGAGGCCGTGTGTCCCGGATGCAGGTGGGTGTTGGAGCTGGCCTGCCCGCTCAGCCCGCCCGTGCGCTCTGCAGGAGCGGAGATGGAAGAGCACCCCGACTCCGACCAGAAGGCGCTGGGCATGATGGGGCTGGTGCAGCGGGACACCTCCCTGCTCCTCCGAGACCTCCGCCTGGGCGCCTCCTCCTGGCTCAACTCCTTCCTGGAGCTAAGCGGGCGCAAGTCCCAGAAGAGCTCAGCGCCGACACCCGGTGAGTGCCCAGGCCTTAGCCTTCCCCGCCTGGCCGTGGCCTTGGCCCCACGGCAGACCATGTCCTAGAAATCTCCCACCTTCTGCTTCCCCAAAAACAAAAAAAAAAATCTTTCAGGGCCAGAGGAGGCGGCGCACCTCTGTCCCAGCATGTGAGAAGCAGAGGCAAGCTCACTGGGAGTTCAAGGCCAGCCTGGCTAACCAAGGCCACAGATGGAGACCCTGTCTCAACAACCACCAACCCATGCATGGGGCTGGGGGGCGGCTCAGGAGGCAAGGGTGAGAGCCCGAGCTCGGATCCCCAGAGCTCATAGAAAAGCCCGGTGTGGCAGTGCCCACCGTGGCCTCAGCACTGGGCAGGCAGAGGCAGGCGAGCCCCTGGGACCTGCTGGAGCAACAGTCTAGGCCAAGGCAGTGAGCTCTGGGGCCAGTGGAAGGCCCCAGCCCGCAGCTAAGGCGGGGCTGCTGAGCTGGCTCGGGGCCCAGGGCCACACAGAGGAGGCAAGAGCCTGCCTACAAATTGTCCTCTGGCCACCCACACACATAAAAACCTAACGAAAATTAAAGGGAAAGCCAAGGTGGGCGGTGCCTTGAGGAACACCACCACCACCACCACCACCACCACACACACGCACGCACGCGCGCACACACACACACACACACACACGCAAGCACGGTAAAAGGGAACAGAGTCTGGGGGACCACTGGGCCCTGGGGGTGGGTCCCCGTAGGGGTCACAGCCCAGCCCAGCTCCCTGCTCATTAGTGCCTCACTGGCTGCTGGCGTGGATAAACGTTAGCACGTAGAACCCTTGGTGTGCCCCCTGTGATATGGGCACAAGCGTACCTGCCTTTCGGGGCCACAGTGAGGACTGCGCGTGTTTGTGTCAAATGCCCAGCCAGCACCTGGCGGCTCCGTGGCCCCGTCTGCAGAGCTGTCTGGGTCGCTGGGCCACACGGTGCCCTGCACTCTGCCCCCTCGGATTGGGACTGTGGGCGGGCTGCTCGCTGAGGGGCAGAGCAGCCAGAGGAGGAGTGGGGTGTCTGAGGCATGCTCCGCCCTGGGCACCGGCTGCCGAGCCTCCTGCTGGGGAGCCGAGGCACTGACACCAGCCTGGGCGCGGGGCTCTGCAGGGCTCCGAGCACCACAGGCTCAAACACGAATACGGCTGCGCCGCGGTCCCTCTGGAGAATGGCCAGTCCTGTGTATCTCACCCTCCTCTAGAAGCCCGACCTGCGCGTCCTAGTCTGTGTGCCGCACATCTAGCCTGTGCCCGGCCTCAGCCTATCTTTGCCTTCTGCAGAGGCGGCGCGCCCCGCGGAGACCATGCGCAGGAGCGTGTCGGAGGCCGCCCTGGCCCAGCCCGAGGCCCTGCTGGGCACAGACTCCCTGAAGGCCCTCACTATAAAGGACTTGGGCTTTAAGGGAAACTCGGAGACGTCAGACACGCCAGAGATGTCGCTGTCCATGGAGACGCTCGGCCCCGCCACGCCCTCCGATGTCAACTTCTTCCTGCGGCCCGAGAGCTCCACGGAAGACTCCTCCGAGGCCACCGACGACCTGAGCCCCATGGGCAGAGGCCCACGCGCGCGCACCGCCTTCCCCGAGGGCTTCCACCCGCGCCGCTCCAGCCAGGGCGCCCTGCACATGCCCCTCTACTCGGCGCCCATCGTCAAGAACCCCTTCATGTCTCCCCTGCTGGCCCCGGACAGCATGCTCAAGACCCTGCCGCCCGTGCACATAGTGGTGAGGGCAGGGCTGGCCAGGGGGGCGGGGCAGGGGCTGGAGGGGCGGGGTCCCCACCTGGCCCTCACTTCTTCCCACGCCCGCCCCGCCCTCCCCGTCCTCCAGGCGTGCGCTCTGGACCCCATGCTGGACGACTCCGTCATGTTCGCCCGGCGACTGCGCGACCTGGGCCAGCCCGTGACCCTGAACGTGGTGGAGGACCTGCCGCACGGCTTCCTGAGCCTGGCGGCGCTGTGCCGCGAGACCCGGCAGGCGGCCGAGCTGTGCGTGCAGCGCATCCGGACGGTCGTCAGCCCGCCGGCCGCGCCGCTGGTCTGAGCGGGCACGGGGAGGGGGCACTAAAGCACCTCCTACTCCAGCTCCGGCCTCGTGCTCGGCGGCCCGCTCGGGCGGGGCGGGGCGGGGCGGGGCGGGCCGAGCCTTCCCCGGGGCCGGGAGGGCGTGCCGGGGAGGGGGCGCGCCCTCACGGTCCCGCCGACCCTCCCACTGCCTTCTGCTGCTGCTGTAACCGACGCCGTCGGCCTCCTGTAAATAAAAGTTGTTGACGAGCCGGGGCTAAGTGGGGCGGCTCCCCGGCAGCCTGCAGCGCCGGGGGAGGGGCCGCGGGCTCCGCGCGCTCCAACCGGCGGCCTGGCCCGCGAGACCCTGGCTTTAGCGAGTCAGTGTCGACCCGTGGGCTGCTGACCCCGGGAGGCCGGTCGGAAGGGATGCCACAGAAGACCCGGCCTCTGCCTTAAAAGGAGCACAGGACGGCAGACGGCCCAGGCGCCCGCGAGGGGCTCATACCTGGCTCCAGGCCCAGGGGGCGCGGGCACAGCAGGTGTGAGCACGGTGGCCAAACACATCATTCTTAAAAACGAATACGGGCCTGCCAGGCCAAGAACCAACCGCGGCAGTGAGCAGGCCTCCAGGGCAGAAAGCCAGGTGTGAGGTGGGGACGGCAGAGGGGCTGTGACCTGACTACAGCTAGGGAGCAGCGAGGGTCCCTGTGAGGGCACGGCGGGTGGCCAGAACCCCCGGAGGCGAGGCCATGAGGGTGGGGGTAAGGCCGAGCGCCCCAGAGCCAGCGGTGGGGTTGCATTAGACTCATTCAAGGTGGGGCTGGATGGAGGCAGAGCAAGACTCGGGCCTGGCCACGACGCAGGCGGGCAGTGAGCAGCCTGTTCCCTGGGAAGATGCTTAGAGGCGGCACTTCAGGGGCATCCAGGAGGTGGAGAGAGTGGGGCTCACCCTAGCCGGAACCAAAGAACCAGGGTCCATCCAGAAGCAGCAGGGCCGGAGGAGGGCCAGAACAGACAAAGCCCTGAGGCTTGTGGCCCAGACAGAGAGAGGCCAGTGTGGGGTGCTGGGAGGGTCAGCTGGAGAGAAGGAAGTGAGGCGGGAGGGAGTGGTCCATGGCAGACTCATGCCAGCCTGGGGCCTCCCCCACCAACAGTATGAGCTGTCCCAGGTCTCATCCCGACTCAGGAGGTCGGCATCCAAACGTGGTGGGCGAAGAAGCGGAAGATATGAGCCGGAGGGCGCCCGTGTCTGGAGGTGGAGGGGCCGGATCTGACTGACAGCATCCTGGCAGGTGGGAGGGAGATGGGATGCGTCTCAGCCAGGTCACAACGGAGACGCGCAGAGGCGCGCAGGGCTCGCGCAGGGCCCCACTTCCTCGTCTACCCAGGAAACTTCTGATTGGAAACCCGACAGGGAAAGCCAGGCACGGGGCGCCCCTGGGACCCCGGCTGGAGAGGCTGAGGCAGGGCCACCATCAGCCCAGTGAAGGGTGAGGTCATCTGTGCCTCAGGCTGTCCTCAAGCCGCGGCCCAGAGGGAGGCCCTGCGGGAGTAACCGAGCACTCGTCCGCCTGCTCCCCAAGACCAGTCCTGGAGACCCTTCAGGCCACCCAGCCTCTCCGCCGTCAGCCCGCCCCAGGCCCCCATCCTCCCTGGCTGCGGAGGGGCCGCGCTGCTCCCTGCGCGACCTGGCCCATCCCTGGCACTAACCCGGCCAGCGGCTGCGCACACGCCCGCACACACACTAACGGCCAACGGTGCACACGCACACACAGACGGCTTCCAGGTTCTGGCTGGCGCCTCCTCCCGGCCTCTGCGCGGCCTCTGCTGCCACCTAGTGCTCTCCCGAGGCGCACGCCCGCGGCCGTGGACGCTCCTCCCGGGGCACGCCGACCCCCAAAGCATCCCTGTCCAGCGAGGGCGGCGGCGGCCGAGGAAGCGGGGCTGAGCGGGAGGCGACCCGCCGCGGGAAGGCAGGCGGCGGGCACGACGGGCCGCCCGCTCCCGCGAGCCCCGGCGCCCTGGCCTAGCCGGCCCGCCCCCGCCACAGTCCCTGCCCATTGGCCGACACTAGCGGAGTGGCGTCTCTGGGAGCCTATCGCCGTCCTGGAGCGCCGCGGCCCCGCCCACAGGAGCGCCCCGCCCACAGGAGCGCCCCGCCCCCTGGAGCGCCCCGCCCTCAGAAAGCCCCCCCCCCAAAAAGGCCCCGCCCCCTGGGGCGCCCGCCCTCAGAAAGCCCCGCCCCCTGGAGCGCCCGCCCTCAGAAAGCCACGCCCTTTATAGCGCTCCCGTAGGGAGCGTCGAGTCGGGTCCTGCTCCGACGGCGAAGGGCGAGGAAGGGGCTGGGCGTCTCGTTCCGGGCGTTTCCAGTCGTTCTTCTTCTCTTTTTTCTTCCCCCCCTCTGCTTTTTTCCAGTACTGGGGGTTGAACCCAGGGCTTTTCGTATGCTAAACAAGGCCTCTGCCACCGGGCGCTGAACCTTTTCTTTTTTCTTTCTTTTTTTTTTTTTTTTAAACACCTGAACACCAGCAGAGGGCACCAGATCTCATTATAGGCGGTTGTGAGCCACCATGCGGTTGCTGGGACTTGAACTCAGGACCTCTGGAAGAGCCAGCAGTGCTCTTAACCTCTGAGCCATCTCTCCAGCCCCCTTTATAAATTCAGGGTCTCGCGAAGCTGCACAGACGGGCCTGAGCTCGCTGTACTCTGTAATCCCTCACCTCCAGAGAGCCGAGGATCCCAGGCCTACGCCCCCATCCCTGCAGCCCTGGGGTCTGGGGAAGGAGCCGCTCTCCCTGATCCTGCAGGATCGGGGCGCTCGGGCCCCAGGAGGGACAGATTCGTGTCAAGATTTCTGTGTCTGAGGTTCCGGAGGATCAGGAATTTAAAAGACTGGGGTGCACGAATCTGAACTCAGATCCCGGGAGTCGCCCTGGCCTGCCCGCCCTGGGCGGCAGATCTGGGTTTCAGGCTTTTATGAGACTGTTTGTGGGGTGAGGCCGCGCCTCACCCCGGGGCGGGTTTTCTGAGTGTGAGCTGGGAGGGGACCTCCAGCCTGCGTGTCATTTCCACCTGCATGCCTACCAAGGAAGCCGGGGGCAGAGCTTCCTGCAAAGGGAACCCGGAACGGGAGGAGAGGCGAGGATAAGGAGGAGACAAAGAGAAAAACAAACAAAGATGCCAAAGAAGAGATTAAAAATAATAAAACAGTAATAACAGTTCTCTTGCACCGAGTTTACTGTGACCCGGGTTCTGCGCTGGAGCGTTTCACATAATTATTCCATGTTTTCCTCACGGTTCTGAGTGGCTGGAACATCACTGGTGTCATTATTATTATTATTATCCCATTTTACACGTGAGAAAATTGAGGTCCAGGGCAGGCCAATCAAGATACATGGAGGGAAACGATACAGATGAAGATAACAACAGGCCCAGAGAAAAGGAGACCAAAGGGGTGGGAGAGCTGAGGAGAGCTAGAGGCTACACCCTAGGGGCTGGGAGAGGCGGGGCCAAAGATGAGGACTCCCGGGACCCCCACACTCCATGGTTCCAGCCTTGTCCAAGCCTCGCTATGGGTGTTGGGCCGAGCTGGGGTCAAAAGCAGTGATTATGACGAGGCAACTCTGCCATTACACAGCGAGAGGTGATAAGAAACTGACTCACGGGCCCCCAGGCTGGGAGGGCCCTTCCTCAGCCCCTGTCCTTTAATCTGGGGGACCCGCCTCAGCACGCGAGCACTCGGGACAGCTTGCCTCCTCGTCTGCTTGCCCAGCACAGAGCTGTTGCTGTAGCCCTGGTGGACACGGGTCTTCCTGGGGTGGTGAGGCTCCGGCAGACTCCAGACCTTGCCTGCCAGGCTCTTCCCCGCCCTGCCGTCGCCCCCTGAGCTGCCACCAGGCTCCCAGACCTCCCCTTTCAGC